CACGCACACGCACACGCACACGCACACGCACACGCACACGCACACGCACACGCACACGCACACGCACACGCACACGCACACGCACACACACCAGAAATTACGTGCCCTGCTCATCACGTGGCACCGCCGGCGGGCGGAACAAATACGAATCTCCTCCTACTTGTCACGCTGCAGCGCAGGGAGAAGCGAGCAATAGCACTCCACTCTACTCGCCACGCGGCAACGCAGTGGGGACGGTAAAACGCATCTTTCTTCCTACTCCGAGCATGGTGCACTCGACTCGCTGCTTGGCAGCGCCTGGGGGGGCGAAACATATACTCCACTCGACGTCCTGATTTTGGGAAAACTTCCAGCGCCCACGCTGCACTCGGAGAGGAGGAGTACTCTGTGATACCGTCGTCGCCAAGATGCCGCGGCGCAGGAGTACAGAAGGCCAACAAAAACAAAAGAGGAGGAAACACTATTCCCGAATTGGCCGATCGGAATCCCGGGTTTCGCGCACCTGCGGAATTTCAGGTTGCGGCTCGAATTCCAGGTTTCGAGTCTCGAATTCCAGGTTTCTCGTTCAAATTCTTTGCTTGGACCGAACGGATTCCAGGTTTTGGGCCGATTCCCTGGTTGAGCTCTCAACTGGGCCACTACTTCCTAACATCCCGAGGTTCCAGAGGTCCACTGAGGCGCGTGGGGTGGAGGTGAGTGCGACGCGGCGGCACGTAGCAGGAGTGGGCAGCGTGGGTAAAAAGTGGGTGGAGTAGGCGTGGGCGCTGAGCGTTCCAACGAGGCGCAGAGCCTGCAACGGCCCTGTGAGGATGGAAAATACGAGCGGTGGGCAGAAATGCGAGGGTGGGCAGAGGAGGTGACCCGAGCGGGACCACGACCCGCGAGGTGGGGAAGTGGTGGCCCCCTCGGCGTGGCTCTTAGTGCTGAGGGACGTTGGCTGCACGGCCCCTGCGGAGCCTGTACTTCCCTCGGTGGCGTGAGCTGGGCGGCCCAGTTCGCCCCCTCCCCCCCGTGCTCTGTGCTCCCGTCCCGCTCCCCGTTCCCAGCGGCAGCAGTGGGGCGAGGTGGAGGAGGTTAATGGGGGAAAGGGGTGGGAAGACGGGGCCCACGGGGCTGTGATCCAGGAGGAGGAGAGGGAAGCGTATGTTTGTTGGGGCTTGAGGCCTTCTCGTCCTCCTCCTCCTTCCTTCGGCAAGGTTTGACGCCACCCCCTGGTCGGGACACGCGCCCGGCCGGGTCGCCCGGCACGGGCTCTCAGCCTAGCGCGGGCCATGCCCTTCCCCACCGCCGGGGGCCTGTCGGCTGCAGCCCGACGCCGAAGCGGGGGGCACCTCCTCCTCTTCCACCTCCTCCTCCTCCTCCTCCTCCTCGCCCTCCTCCCTCCCTCTCCTCCTCCCCCCTTCCTCCTCCTCCCTTCCTCCTCCTCCTCCTCCTCCTCCTCCTCCTCCCCTCCTCCCTCCTCCTCCTCCTCCCTCTCCCTCCTCCTCCTCCCCCCCCCCTCAGGCGGCGCGGGGGGCAGCCCGAGAGGCGCCTCCTGGCCGCCGCGGCCGGCGCCCTGCCTGCGGGGGAGCCCGCAGCACTCGTCGCGCCTGTGGCGCCTCCCGGGCGACCTCGCGGGCCGCTGGCCGCCGAGCGGCCGAGGGGTCAAAAGGCGCGCGCCCGGCGCGCCTGGCCAGAAGAGCGGCGGGTGGTGGTGCCCTGAGATCCTGGCGGTGCAACTTTTCCACACGGGGCGTCCTCGCCTTATTTCGGGCCCTGGGACCCTCACAGATCGATCCGCCTCGAAAAATGATGCAGAAAGATGGGGTCCAGTGCTCTGGTCGTTTTTTTTGCTGTCGTACTTTTTTTATATCTACGATGTTGCAAGTTTTTGGCAGCGTCAGCTTTCAGGGTGGGGCTGTGGCAGACCTGGCGTTGGCGGGCAGGGTGTCGCAGGACGACGTGGAGCAACGATCAATAAGGCGTCTTACGCGAGATGACGTAGCGACCTTTCGCGGCGGCTTACGCGGGCCACCGGCGCTGCACGCTGCAGTGGAGACGAGGGCGCTTACCCGCGACCTTACGCGAGCAGCTTGCACGCGAATGTCGGCGCAGACGGCCCCATTTGCGCGTGTTTGCGTCGCTCAGGTCGTAGAGGGACGGTGGCAGATCTGGCGTTGGCGGGCAGGGTGTCACAGGGACACGCGGAGCCAGACTCTATTGCCACCGCATCTTGATTACAGATCGCTCGCGCACTGCTATAGCATCTGCGGCTCATTGGCGGACTGACGAGCCCCACAGGCAAAACTAGTCTCAGCGCAGTCACATTTTCTTGCACCTTGAGATTGCCACGTCAAAACAAACGAGCACGGACGCTGGGCTCTGTCGGGAAGGCTTCACTCAACGTTACTGAAAGGAACCGATGGTGAGCAAAACTGTGAAGCCCAGCACCGAGCGTGGAAGTATCCACAGGGACGGTGCCAGGGCAGGGGACCTGGAACAAGCCAGGCCGCCTAGAGTATTGGAGAGCTACGACAGGGAATGGCTGGAGGGAGGGGGAGGGAGGGCAGAAGCGGGCCTCCTGGAATGCTGTCGTCGCCACGGCTGGATCCGCCTCGGAATTCTGGTCACAACTCACCCCTGGACGGCTGTAGGGCCGCTGCACCCTCTCGTCAGGGCTGAACCTAGACGGCGCTTTCCGTTTTCGTATTGTTTTTCGTCATTCCTCGTTTTGCCTTCGCTTCGCCTCGAATGCAAACCAACACGAAACACAAAACGGTTCACGATATGGCCGAAACACCGTTTAGGTCCAGGCCTGCCTCTCGTTGTGGCAAACACCACGGCGGAATGATGCCTCCATGGGGGCCCTCACCGGGCCCCCGGACAGTCAAAAACGACTGGGGAGGCCAAGGCGGCCCCTGGGAAGGGGTCCAAACCTCTGGGGAGCCACGCCGTGAACCAAAAAATGACGTCGGATGCCTGGGGGGGGGAGGGGCGGGGACGAGGAGGAAGAGGAGGACGAGGAGCAGGAGGAGGAGGAGGAGGACAAGGAGGAGGAGGAGGAGGAGAAAGACGGAGGAGCTCGCTCGCTGCTTCACCGGGGCACATTCTTTTTCGCGAGGCGGTCGACCGAACCTTTCCGGCGCGCGCGGCGACGGGCGCGCTCGCAACAAGCCCATGGCGCGCCCTGGCCGCGGATCCGGGAAGACGAGACGGAAGCCTGGGGCCCACCAGTGAGACGAGGAGGGGTTCCCCTCCTCCACCTCCTCCTGGGGGAGGAGTGGTGGGGGGGAGGAGGAGGAGGACATTCCCGGATCTTCGTTGTTTTTTGTTAAAAAAACAAAATTTGAGATTTCCGCTCGCTTTTTCGGCCCGTGGGGCCCGCTGTCGTGCACCGAGGCCGTCTGGCAGGAGTCCCGGGCGCACGGCCACTCTGGCGGCAGGGGTCGGGTGCTCCGGGGCCGCGACTGAGAATCGGCGGTGGACAAACCTCCCTTTAGTAGTTAGACCTCCCCCTAGTGAAAAGGGCCTGGGACCGAAACCGACAGACCTGGACCCGCAAAAATGACGGCCGCGGCGCCCTCTCGCGAACCGAAAACGGCCAATTCCTTAATCGACGTGTCAGGGTAGGAGGTCTGTCCACCCCCGAGAGAACAAATGTCGGAGGATTTCTGGGGTTGAGCGTTTTGTAAGGCACTGCGCGCTAAAAGCAACAGGAGGACGAAGATGATATGGGGAGAGGATGCTGACGAGAAGGGCGAGGACGAGGGGGAAGAGAGCGGGCTTCAGCACGTCTCACGCCCTCGCACCGCTCAGTTCTCTCGCCGCCTTGCTCGCCACCTTGCGCAGACCTGGGCCGTAGCGCGAGCAGCGGAGCACCTCGCCGAAGAGCTCCGTCAGCGCGCCCTGCACATCGCCGGCGTCGGCGGCGGCTGGGGGCGCCTCCTGGCCGCACTGCGCCACCACCTCTCCAGGACGAGAGCGATGTCATGAGAAGTCTGGCTCAGAGGATACGTCCCAAGAGCTCCTGGGTGTCTGGCCTCCCCCCGTTCCTGTAGCCCGTGTGGACCAACAGGGGACGCGGGAAAAGACTGGGATCCTGGGGCTCGTGGAGCGTCTGCATCGACCCCGCAGTTACGGACAGGAGCGACAGGGGGCGAGGGGTAATCGCCAGCAGTTCGCGGTTCGGGACCTTGACGCCTGGAGACTGGGACGTGGGTAGCGTGTCGCGCCGAGGTGTGGTGGGCCAGAACCGGCGGAACGACGCGCGAACCACAAAAGTTCCTGACCGTGTCATTGTCACGGCTTTTTGCTCATCTCGACCTCGGCGTCGCCGAGGTGCCACCCGAGCAGCAGCCGCAGCCACGGGTCGCGCTGCGCCAGCGAGGACTCTCGCAGGGTGTCCCGCAGCAGGGGCCGCGCGACCTCGCGACAGCGCCGCGTGATCAGCAGCCCGAGCTGAAGGTCGCGCAGGTGCCCCGCCACGACTCTCACGGCCTCTCGGAAGAGGGCCGGCCGAGACGGCGGCGGCGCTCCCGGCGATGTTCGCCCTGCCTGGGGCCTCGTGGAGGCTCCTCGGCACCACGGCTGGAGCCGCATGAGAACACCGGTCCGACTGGACCCTGGGAGGGGTCCGGGAACCAGTTCTGAGCGGCTTTAGGAAGGGGAACCGGGGCACCCAAAGAAATAGACACAAAGAACCAGATTCCCCATATTTCCCCATATTTTCGTGGCTTCTGCTTCCCCCCCACTTCCCACATTTTCCAATTTTTTCTGGGGAATCGACCATGAATCGTGTCTGCGTGTCTTTTCCCCTCCTGACTCTGGGCCGGGCGGGAGAGCCGCCGTCGTCTCCGCTGGCCCTCCCCCGCGGGCCTCGTCCATGCTGTCGCTCATGACGAAGAGCGCCGCGGCGAGGTAGTAGCGGTGCAGCTGGAGCAGCCGGAACGCGTTCTTGCGCAGGAACTCCGCGTCGCCCACGCTCTTGTGCTGCAGCAGCGCCGCGATGCCCGGCTCGCTGGCCAGGAGCCCCGTCCGCATGAGGGCACGGAGGGCGGTGATCTTCGTGCCGAGCAGCGCGTGCCAGAACAGGGCCTCGTCGACGTAGCCCTTGGAGACTCCCTGCGAGGTGCGTGCCATGTCCATGTCCCACTCCTTGTCCTTCTCCAGGTGGCGTCGCAGCTGCAGCACCTTGGTCTGGGCGATCTTCGTGATCAGCCTGTCGAGCAACTCCAGGCAGTCACTCCCGCACAGCCACCAGCCCACGGCTGTGCGGCGGAGGTCTGGCCAGAACCAGCTCTCCCCGGCGGAGGTCACCGGCAGCATACGCTCGAAGACGAGGCGCCGGCTCTCGGAGCACAGCGCCCAGCAGGCGTCCGCCGTCGACAGCGCCGCCAGCGGTGCTCGGAAGCTGGCGCCCGCGGTGCGCGCGGGGCGGGAGGCCGCAGCCGTGGTGCCCAGGTCCAGGGTCGCGAGCGCCACGACGAGGCGCGCGGTGGCCGCGTCGCCCTCCAGGCACGGGAGCAGCGACTGAACCCGATCGCGCACCGCTCGGTGCTGCACCGCGCGCGCCCGCAGCGCCTCGGTGGCCGCGGCGGCGGAGGCGGCGGTGGCCGGACCGTCGGGCTCCTCGGCCCGCGCGGACGCCTCGGGGCTCGCGCCCGCAGCGCCGTCCTCGGGGGCGTACTTCTGAACCAGCTGGTCGAGCCGCTCGCTCAGGTCCTTGGTGCTGACCGAGGCCTTCAGCGTGCGATTCCTCGACTCTGACTCGGCCGCCTCCGCCTCCTCGGCGCTTGCAGTGAGGGCGTCCCGCAGCGACGGGGCCATGGCGTCGCAGGCCGCACCGTCCAGCTCCCCGAAGGACCAGCCGTTCGCCGCCAGCGCGCGGGCACCTGGGCTTGCAGGCTCGGCGCAGTCGCGCCCGAAAAGGTGCGCCAACCACAGCTCCACGTGCCCCTCCGGCGGCACCTCCACGGTCTCGCCCGTGGTCTCCGTGGGGTCAGCTCCAGGCTCGCCTTGCCCCCAGACTCAAGCCATATTATAAAAGGTGCTGTTTTGATTGCGGAGGGTGCCTTCGCGGCACAGACAAAATGACGACGAGATGGCCCATGCATGTCAGCGGCTTTCGAGCCCAGCCTGGATGTTGGCGATGGTCAATCAAGACACCCCCCTCAAGCGGCCTACACAGTAAGCAATCATTCGCGCGATCCAGCAGACAGGCGCCGTCTTACAAACAGACACACGACCAAACTATCAAGCAACTTCACAATCAAAAATGCAATGCAGGAATCAAAACAGGACAAACCCAACATCGACTGATCAACCAACCGACCGACCAACCTACATGAAGACATGGAAAACCTACCAGCCGGCCTGCCAACGTGATACGAGCCTGCGGCTTCCTGCTCAGGCCGCCTAGTGCCTCATCTGTGACGTTTTCGCTGTTGCAATCCCAGGTGCCTACAGAACTTACTAAATTATTCAAATGGAATTGTGCTGGTGGTGAAAGATGGGGCCACTCGAAAACAACCACATGTATGACGTACGTGCGATTAGCCACTGGCTTTCGAGACAACCTTCGACAAACAACGGTGTACTGACAAACAACGGGGTACTGCCATTATTTCTGCCAAAGAAGCACGCTCCCACGCGAACGATGGTGCCCACTGCCATGAAGTTCCGTCTTAGCGCCCGAGCGCACATCGCACATCGACTCCAACGTTTCCTCCGTTCATTCGCGATCGCTCTCACTGGAAAGACGCTCTCATAGCAGAACTATTTTTAGCCTTCTCGGACTCTCGGCTCAACATTGCTTGAATATTGCTTTGGGGATCTTCAAGATGGCCCAAGAACAGGGCCTCAAAAACAACCCAAACCGACCCAGGGGCGCCCCGAAGGTCTCACAAGACGGCCCAGAGGTCCCAAACCAGCCCAAGACGGCGCCAAGGCAGCCCAAGAGAACCCCCAAGGGCCCCAGCATGCTCCAAGGTGGCTCAAGAGGGCCCAAGATGCCCCTCAAAGGTGGACAAGGGGCTTCCAACATGCTTCTGACCACGACGCGGGCACCGAGGCGGAATGGGCCGAAGGCCATCAACTACAATCGCGCGGCATTTTTGGGACATGCTTGTAGCCAGTGTGCTTGTTGCCTGCGTCGTTCACAAATTATCGTTTGCCCTCGTTGCTTCCCCCTGCGTGAAGAAAAAATGGCAACGCCCATGGAGTGTCAGGTGGCCTCAACGGGGCCTTCCACATTCAGATCTCGCACCTCACTCGGAACGGCCCGTGGCGTGGCACTGTTTCACGGCTACGACCTGTCAAATTGCAAAGCTACAAAAATCGAAGTGTATGCTGACCGTGCCTGGTTATGAGTTGTAGGGACGCAGACTTCACTCGAAGCCTCGTCATGAGCAGCGGCTTCAATCCCGAGAACTGTGCACGGCGAACCAAGCGAAGTCCCCGATGCTACCGTAATGCCCCCAGTCAGACCCCCAGCCAAGTGATCGCAGGTGGCCAGAAGGCTCTGGCCCAGGGTGCCCCCGGCTCTCTGCGCCATTCTGGAGCCCTCCCTGGACAGGCACAGGGGCACCCTGGACAGGGGCCAAGAAGTCCAGCGGCACCCGGACTCACCGCAGGGCACCACTGCCCCCTCGCATCCCTTCACGAGCCTCGGGTGAACAAATGATGACACAAAGCATCACAGCTCGGAGGCCCGCGCGGACTTCTCGGATCGGCGCTGGACGGGGCGAGCCAGGGGCGGCGCCGGAGGCGCCGCCGGTGGGCTCCGGCGCCGCTCCGAGGACTCCGCGCGGACCTCCTTGAGCTCTCAGGTGCGCGCCGCCGGCTGCTCCCCGCAAATTTTAAAAATGCTGAGAATCCCATGTGTTTTGGGCCCCTGACCCCGCCGATCTGCGTGAGAGGTGCCACCGAATTTCAAAAATGTAGCAAATCTCACGTGTTTTGGACCCTGGCCCCGCCGATCTGCGTGAGGGGTGTCAACTTTTACTCCCTTCTTCTCGAGCCCGGGGGGGGCCTCGCGAGGGCGCCCGGAGGCTCCCAAAGTGCTGGCCGTGCACCCGCGCGCCGACGGCCAGGTCGGAGCCCGACCTGGTCGGCGGGGGCCCGTCCTGGGGCGCGGCCTCCGCGGGGCTCCTGCCGCCCGCGGGCTCGGGGGGCTGGCTGGCGCTGCTGAGCACCTCGAAGGCCGCGAAGTACTCCAGGCAGTCCTTCTCCAGCTCCTCTTTGCGGGGGGGGCAACAGCCCTGACCTTCCAGAGTGCTAGAAAATAGCCCTCCAGACCTATAGACCTATCTGGGCCGCCTAAAACCTCGACAGGAATTAAGATATCGAGGTCCTGGTGCTATTTTTAGCCTTCCTGGAAGGTCAGGGAGGCACGCTCCTCTTTTCAGAGCGTGAATTACCTACCCCGCTTTCGCTTCCAGGCAAAACCAAGTCATACCACGCGCCTCCTCGGCAAGAGGCCTGACCAATACAGACCGCAGTTTGGCATCGCTGGGTATCTCTTGGAAGCGAGGGTGGTCAAAAGCGAGGTAGGTTTGTTTACCCCCTATCTTTGGGGGGGCAACAGGCACGTATCCATGCCGCTGCTCCCCGTGCCATGCCTCTCCAGGGCGGCGCTCTGGCCAGGACTTCGAGGCGCGTCCCGCCGTGGCGGCCAGGGCATCCTGGGAGGTCCACAGGGGGCCCAAGACGGGGCAAGGGTGGAGGAATCGGCCAGGGTACTCCAGATTTCGTAATAAAAGGGAGGGGGTCTGGACCCTCCAAGACAAGCCATTTCAGACCCCCCCCCTGGGAGAACCCTCCAAAACATCGTCCCCAGACCCCCCCAGGCCCTCCAAGATAGCCTGGAAGAGACCCCCCCCCGAAATGAGACCCCCCTCCCTTCATTACGAAATCTGGGGTACCTCTTTTCCTGGGGGGGGGGGGCGGACGAGGGTGTGGCAGCACGGGGCATGGTGCCAAGCGTGGCACGGGCGATGCTGTCTGCGATGGTGGACATCGCTAGCTTCTCCCCTCTGCAAAACGTTGGCACGACGCCCCTGTGCACCACACCCCTTCCCTGCCTCCAGATCTCCCACCCTGATCCTCGTCGCACATGCCGGCCCGCCGCCTCTCCAGCTCCGCCAGCTCCGCCTGCCACTCCTGCGCCTTGCGTTAAGTCGGGCCTGTCCCCCGACAGGAGGATCTTCGACGAAAAATAAAAAATACCCACAAAATATTCCAGAATGGTCAAAAAATGCAACAAACCATAATTCCCAGACCATTTTTTGTATATATATATATATATATATATATGATTTCCTGACTATTTTGGGGGTATCTGGTATTTTTCGTCGAAAGTCTCCCTGTAGGGGGGCAGGCCCGACTTCAGCCTTGCGCTCGGACTCCTCGGCGGCCTCGGCGGCGCGCTCGGCGGAGCGCCGGCGCTCCTCCTCGCGCTCCCGCACCAGGCGCTCGAGGCGGGCGTGCGGCGCCTCCTCCGCCGGCGGCCCGGGCGCGCAGATGTCGCTGCAGCAGGCGGCGAGCTTGCCCCAGCACCCTGCGCCCAGACTCAAGTCGGGCCTGTGCCCCTACAAGGGGATTTGGGACGAAAGATAAAAAACTGCCCAAAACTGCCCAAATACTCGAAAATGGTCACACAAAATCGTCCCCGGACTATTTTTTTCAGTATTTTTGGATATTCCCCCTGTAGAGGGCCCCGCTGTGGGGGGTTGCTGCGACAGGTTCGCGTCGTGTCGAGCCCAACGCTGCTTCCTGACACCGCGGGGATCTTTCAAGCTTGAGTGATCGGCCGTTTCAGGAACGCCACAGCGTTCAACGATGCGCCGATTCTGGGTCGCCGGCGTCGTTCAACATTGAACGCGGGCGGTGGGGTCGCCGCCAGTCGACTCGACGCGAACATACCGTAGAGGTGGGTGGTCCTGCCCCAATGTGTCTGCAGCTTTTCGGCCCATTCTGGGGCCCCTGGGGCCCTGTGGGCCTCGGGGTGGGTGCTCTGGAGGCCCTGTGGGCCTACCTGGAACTGCTGGGGACGCCCTGGGCCGGGCACACTTCTGGCAGCACCCGGCCAGCGGCTCTTGGCTCCATGCCGGGGGACGTTTTCGCGGCAAGGGCCATTCCCTGATGGTCCCGAGGCCCGTCGGCGGCTCCCACCGGACCAACTTTGTGAACGCTTTTTGACATTCGGCGTTTCGACATTCGGCGGAAGGGGGGGGGAAAGGGGGGGGTCTGGCTCCAGACCTCTGCTCAACGCGACTGTTCGCAACAATGCGTCCGATGGGGGAGACTCCACCTGCCTGAAACAGGCGACCAAAAACAGCCAAGATCTACTCCAGGGGGGTGGGTGGGAGGGGGGGATGCGAGGGCCCGCGCCGATCGGCAAAACAATCGATAAAAGCATGATCGCTCTCCCCAGGAGAGCGCCCGCCGTGCTGTGGCCCGCGGCGCCTGGAGGTCCGGGCGTGCCGCGTGCCATTGCTGCCCTCCGCCCGCGGCTGGCGGCGCGCACGAGGGGGCGGGCAGAAGGCCGCCAAGACGGCGCCCCAGAAGGGGCAGGACGCTTCCTAAGAAGGCCTCTGGGAAGCTGGGTCACGGGGGGGTGAATGTGGCTTCTGAGAAGGTCTCTCAGAAGGGTCCAGGTGCTTCTGAGAGGGCCTCTTGGGAGCTGGGGCACGAGTGGGTGGAAGGTGGCCTCTGAGAAGGCCTTTCGGAAGGGGCCAGCGGCTCCCAATCAGGCTTCTTGGAAGCTGGGGGGCTTTGGAGAAGCCTACGGTCGGGAACCTTTGCTTGGCGTGTCGCGGCGGCGGCCCCGGCGACACGCCACGTCTTGCATACGGATAGCGCGTCGTTCCGCTCCGCGGGGCGGGAGACTGGGAACAGCTCGGGACGTTGAAGGTCAGGGACTGGGACGCAGACGGCGTGCCGCGAGCGAAGCGTGGTGGGCCAGAACCGGCGGAGCGACACGCTGAGCAAAGTCCCCGACGGTAAGATGGCGTCTTGGAACGTGGGGGGGGGGGCTTTCAAATGGCCGAATCCGGGATTCGGCCATTTGGAAGCCCCCCCACCGTCTCAGGGAAGCCTGAATAGGGATTCGGCGAACCCTGAGTAGGAAGCCTGCGCAGGGATTCGGCGAGTCCTGAAGAGGCATTCCGCGAAACCATTCCGGCCATTCGGAAGCCTGAGTAAGGACTCGGCGAATCCCCACTCAGGAGGTCGCCAGCCTCGCACCGTCGCCGAGGGACGCCCGCTCCACGCTGCTCCCCCCCTGGGGCCCCCCCCCGTCCCAGGGCCCGCGCTGGCCTGTGCATCGGGCCGTGCCCAGCCCTGGCCACGGGGACCTCCAGTGAAGGGGCCCTGGGACACACAAACAAATGCATACAAATAAAAGGATTCCCCATATTCTCCTATATTTTCTGGGCTTTTGTCTTCCCCCCCACTTCCCATATCATCCTATACTTCCTGGGAGTCGACGATTCATGGTGTCTGTGTGTTTCTTTCCCTCCCGAATCATGAGGGGCGGGGACCCGAAGGACGAAAACCTCAGGCAATCAATACTCACGACCGGCGATCCACTTCCTATGCCTCGGGCCGCATCCCTCAGGGCCGCACATCTCGGGGCCCCCATGTTTGCACCGCCGGCCATCGGCCGGCGGCTCGCCGAGGGGGGGCGTGAGGCCGGGCAGGCTCTCAAGGCAGGCGGCGGGGCCTCGGAGGAGGGGCCTCGAGGGCTTCCCCGAAGGCCGGAGGCCTTCTGAGAGTTCCTGGGAGGGCCCGCCCCCTCGGCCTCCTCCTCCTCCTCCTCCTCCTCCTCCTCCTCCTCCTCCTCCTCCTCCTCCTCCTCCTCCTCCTCCTCCTCCTCCTCCTCCTCCCCCTCCTCCCCCTGTGCGCGCCGCCGGCCCCCGCCCTCGGCCCGGCCCCCCCCGCGCGCCCGCCCCTGAGGCCCCCCCCCTCCGGGTGCGGCTCGATCCCGAAGCCAACCGGAGGCTGCCCGCCGCACGCTCGCGGGGCACCCGCAGCGGCACTGCCACTGCGCCACACCACTTCCGCCTCTCGGCCTCCCGCACCTTCTCTGGGGCGATGCGATGCGATGCGACCCGCATTCCAGCCCCTATAGGGCGGTCCTCTCAAAGGGCAGGCGTATGGGACACGCAGTCCCGGTGACCGGGTGCACTGGAAAATGCTTCGCGCCAACGTGGAAAATAAGACAGAGAGAACTGCGTTCAGACAGGCATGACATAAACTGCACACTAGAAAGAAGGAGAAAGGAAAAAAATTAACCTTCTCTAGGGGAACAAAAAGTGGCATAAACATAAAAACTCGGAGGTCCGCGCGGATCTCTCGGATCGGCGCTGGACTCCCCTGGCGGCGCCTCCGGCGCCGCCCCTGGGGCGCTCCGCGCGCCAGGGGGGGGGGGTCCAGCGCCGATCCGAGATATCCGCGCGGACCTCCGAGTTTTTATGCATATGCCACTTTTTGTTCCCCTGTTCTCGGCCTTGAAGGGCTTC